ACTTTAGAACCCCCCCCCCCCCAAACAAAACCCGGGATCATCTTTGGAAGTGAAGAAAGGGCATAAATAAATTAAAGATAATCAGCTTTCAATACTTGTTTTCTAATCTATAACATCATTTATGTTATGTCTCGTAAACGGTAATAATTGTAAGCTCTATGGCAGAGGTTCTCAGTCTTATTACTTTAGAACCCCCCCCACCCCAAACAAAACCCGGGATCATCTTTGGAAGTGAAGAAAGGGCATAAATAAATTAAAGCATGTGGTTATTAGATTCTCGCCTCCAACACATAAATTATGAATTTGTATGTGTAGCTGTAACGACTACAAGGAACTACCCCAATAGCTGTTAATAATATTAAAATGTTTAATCAAAGGTGATAAATATAAGATTTTAAAAAATCCGATTTTTTAACACAAAGAAACTCACATGTCTAAACTGCTCAAGCGACCCCTTGTAAATACTTAACGGAACCCCTGAGGGAGTCTCGAGACCCACAGGCTGAGAACCGCTGCTCTGCTCGCATTTTTTTTTCTCCACTTTTATTTGCAAAATGTTTTAAAAGAGTTTATCCTTTTTTTTTATTCCCATGAGATTTGCTAAGTTTGAATTTTCTATCAACCACAGATTTGCGACCCGGAGGCCGAGCTCTACCTCGACGAAGACGCCAGAAAACTATCGATAACTCACATGGCCGGCAACAAAAGTCTTCCCGGCAAGCTCCACAAGAGGACGCCCAACAGCATCGAGGAAGACCCCCACGAGAACGGCGACACGATGTACGTCATATCCTCCGTCAAAACTCAAGACCATCCTGGCGACCAACGGACCTTAATCGACAGTCCATCTGCGATGGGCGATCGTTTGGGCGTGTATTCTTCTGATCGTGAACACAAAAGATTAAAATCTGGCACCGCCGGCACACCGACAGCCGTCTCGTCCACATTGACGTTTACCACAGAGAACCTTTCCCAGCCTAACTCGTCATCATCCTATGATGACGCAGATCAAGCGTTGAGACGAAATGCTCGCGATTCGTCTGAAAACTCTCAAAACCAAGCTGCAGCTTCTTTCGGCAGCTCGCGTTCGCTGACGAAAACCCTGGACAAGAAGATGGTGTACGCGAAACAGGACTTCGAGGATTCACGGTTGCCAGGCAACGCGCAGGACGCTGACGGATTTTCTGACTTGTTACCGGGTGACGCGAGTCACCCGACGGCGTCAGACACACGTAGCAAGGAGTCACTGACGCCGGAATTTACCGACTCAGAGGAACCGCTTTTTTAATATCATGCTCTTAATACATGGAAAAAAAAATTTTTCAATGCAAAATTTCATGACTAGTGATTTTCCAATAGTGTTGACGTAATCTTATCAGAAAGAAACGTAGCCAAAAATGAGGCATAGCGGAGAAACACATTAACATCATGGGCAGACATTCTTTCCGCCAAGAAGGCAAGCTCTCTGTTCAATTAAACAAAAAAAATGTGCAACAAAGATGTGTTCGGTAACAACTTTAATGAAATCAACAATATAAAATCACTCACATTGACTCACATTTCATGCACCAGTTTTGTGACTCATAAAATTTAAATGGCGTACGGAAATGAAATTAAAAAAAAAATTAAAAAATTCTTCAATAAGTTGCAATAACGAAAGTACAGTAGATAAAACTGTCCGTCACGGTTTACTTTTGTCATCGGCTGTCATGGATGATGCGTTTGCTAACCATTCAGGTTCGGACGGTTCTCCAACTTTGAATCGTATACAATTGATGTTTAGGGATTTAATCTTTTTTTTTTTTTAAACACATACAATTTTCTACAATTTTGTTAAAAAATACTTTACAGATTTTTTTTTTTTTATAGTTTTAAATATTTTTGTAATTGTTTAATTTTTTTTTTTTTTAAAAACATAAAATTTTATAAAATTTTGTTAAAAAATTTTTTACAGAGTTTTTTTTTTTTTACAGTTGTAAATATTTTTGTAATTGTAAGATGACACCAGAGAAGTGTATGTGTGTGTGTGTTTGTATGTGACAGAGTGTTCTGGAGCGTGTCAGTTTAAAAATGAAATACGTGAGCGTGGCGTAACGGGCAAAGGGGTGGTGGGAGGGTGGTGGGGCTTGCTGGGAATTCGCTCAACCTTTAAACTTTACAATAACAAGTTACATTCACAATAATTTTCCCCTCATTTGTGAGGGTTTGATGTGATTGAATCATTTTTGGTAAGTGGTGAGTAATCGAGTCTGATCCAATCGTATTTTGTAAGTGGCGAGGAATAATGCTTTGGTGAGTTGTGAGTAATCGAGTCTGATTAATAATGTTTTGGTGGATTGTTAGTAATCGAGTCTGATTAATAATGTTTTGGTAATTTGTGAGTAATGGAGTCTGATTAATAATGGTTTGCTGAGTTGTGAGTAGTCGAGTCTGATTAATAATGTTTTGCTGAGTTGTGAATAACCGAGTCTGATTAATAATGTTTTGCTGAGTTGTGAGTAACCGAGTCTGATTAATAATGTTTTGGTAATTTGTGAGTAATGCAGTCTGATTAATAATGTTTTGCTGAGTTGTGAGTAACCGAGTCTGATTAATAATGTTTTGGTAATTTGTGAGTAATGGAGTCTGATTAATAATTGTTTGCTGAGTTGTGAGTAACCGAGTCTGATTAGTAATGTTTTGCCGAGTTGTGAGTAACCGAGTCTGATTAATAATGTTTTGGTGGGTTGTGAGTAATCGAGTCTGATTAATAATGTGTTGGTAATTTGTGAGTAATCGAGTCTGATTAATAATGGTTTGGTGGGTTGTGAGTAATCGAATCATCACTGGCTACGCTCGGAATTGTTGAACCGTAAGTTACAGTTTAATTGAGAGTTGGGGAACACATTCATTCTTTCAGTCAGTAGCAGTGTACGAGTGGATTGAGATTTTTGTCACAAATTGTTTTGTAAAGAAAACACCAACCAAAAAAAAAACATGAAATAAAATTGAATTAATCATTTAAATATGGTGTGCACATTTAATTGCACGTGTGTATTATTTTATACCTATTCCTGTACACTTGATCAATTTCATGTTTGGAGATGAACAAATGATCTGATACTACACTCCCACACCATAACAGATAAGGTGCATAACTAATACACATTGTGTTTGATACATGGTTTAATGGTGGTTTTAACAGTTGTTTTTTTTTCTATTAAAAGAATGAATCAATTTCAAGGTTCGCCTCTTATACACAGTGCCTCTATTTGAAAACAAATAGTTGTAAAAAGCTTTGAGTTTTTAGGTAAATACAAGTCTTCAAATTATTGTAGATCACATTGATTGCAAATCATTAAAAAAAAAACAGGCTATCACTACACATGAAGCCCATTTTATTGTGCATCTTAATCCCATGTACATGATGATAGTGATGATGACGATGATTGGATTACTGAAGTAGCGTTTGTGTCTATGCTATTCTAACATGCCCAAAGCGCTCTGATGTCATAAACACTATTATAAAGTCAAATGTCTTTAAATGTCTCTTAAGTGATTTTCTTTTGAGCATTTTAGAATAAAATTGACAGGTAAATGAAGTCATGTTTTCATCATGATCTGAAATGTGTTTTTAAAAAATATGAGTTTCACAAATAAATAATTAAAAAAGACGAAGTTTCATTTTTAAAAAATAACTCATGAAACATCCTAGCCTCTCAGCACTGTCTCTGTGCTGCACAATGTGGTGCATAACGTTTTGCAGTCATTTCAATCTTTAATAATTATCACATCCAACTAAGAGGATTTCGATGGTAGAATTTTACTAGATGCCGTAGATTGATCCGAAATGGAGTCTAAATGTTTTACTTTCGTTCAGATCATTATTATATTATTTATTCAAAGATATTTTACGACTTGGATCTGTGGATAGCTCCCCCTCCCCCCCCCCACCCTTTAAAAGAACATCGAATCCAGTGAAGAATTACAGTAAATACTCCCAAAGCCTTTCATCTCGAGATCGTCCTGAAATATACTGGTCACTGTACATGCTAGGACGTACAGAATCTGGTCATTGTTTTCTTTGTTTTTGTCCCATGCCCCTACATCTTTTACCAACGGATAAGCCTGGCTGGGGATGCCAGATAAAGGGGGGCCAGATTGAGGGGGCGGGTGGCCACTTTAAAAATGGCTCTAGTACAGCATTGCTAATGTAGATCAACTAAACGAGAAGTGCAGTTGGTTTGGGGTTCACTCGTATATTGTTGAGCATACATCCGTCTCAAGGAGAGACTGTAGCGGTTTTCACTAGACGTTGTGAAACTTAAGATCGGGGGGGGGGGGGTGCTTGCAGTTTGTCATCTGATAAAGCCATTACACAATAGGCGCCTCAGGATTTGACTCAAGTTATTTTGCGTACCATCTTATACCTTTTACGGAACTAAACGAGAAGTGCAGTTGGTTTGGGGTTCATTCGTATATTGTTGAGCATACATCCGTCTCAAGGAGAGACTGTAGCGGTTTTCACTAGACGTTGTGAAACTTAAGATCGGGGGGGGGGGGTGCTTGCAGTTTGTCATCTGATACAGCCATTACACAATAGGCGCCTCAGGATTTGACTCAAGTTACTTTGCGTACCATCTTATACCTTTTACGGGAAACCTTCTTCAACATGTTATTTTTGGGAATGACTCCCGTGGCCTTTAGCCAGTGCGTTTTACCAGCAAGTCCGTGGAATTTTTAAGTTTCCCTTCTCTTAGCGTAGCCACCGTCAAAGGCAGACGGGTCGCATTTACTTAGTGGGCCTGGGTTGGTATGGATTTATGGGTCTGGAAATTGTTATAGTGTCGACATACGTGACCTATTTCCCTTCATAATCCTTATATCTCATTGTGTCATTTCACGCCAATACCATTCCATCCGAGTCTGAAGTTTTACTTCGATATCCTTATGCGACAGTCTGTCACTTGACTCCATTACGTGTCTGTCCCCGTCTGACACTGTGGTATCCTCCTATCCCACCCCACAGCGCTGACGTTCAAACCGGTCTCGGGACGCCCGCTGTGCGGGTGCCGACCATAGAATCCTCCCCATTTCATCTTCCCCAGTATCCAGACCGGGGCGCCGCTGCTGCCCGGGCACGTCGGGGTGTCATAGGTGTAAACGCAGTTCTCAAACTCCTTCGACCTGTCCACCACGTCGCGGTCCCTCCAGGTGCCGATGCTGACCTGCTTGCTGCACCCATGTGGATGAGATACCTGGAACGGTATAAGACAAGATAGATAAGATGCTTTAGTGGATCCAAAATGAATGGAGTTTTTTTTTTATTCCGTACAATATAATCAAGTATTGTGGGGGGCGCGGGGGGGGGGGGCTTAGTTGACGAAAAATTGGCATCAGAATTGTTAATGAATTATTCTACTCCCTGGAAAACCAATATACAATCGTATCGATTATCCCATGTACGCAATCCTTGGGCACGTTGAGAGATTAACTGAGTCCCTTGTAACCGCTGTAACAAGACACGTTTAACAATGGTCGTCGGAATATAAAATCTATACGACCATCCACTGATGGGTTTCAGCAAAGTTACGCTGCAAGGTTTCACTTTTTCATAGGTTTCAAAATGCAACCATGACACATGAAGGTTCGCATGTCTGCAGATCATGAGCATCGAAGTCACACACTGTAGCGGCGGGTCTCAGAATGGGGGAACATGCTACTGCCATAACCCACCCCAACCCTGACGAAAATTACCATAAGTCTCTTCCAGGCGTTTCAGCCGCCCTCACCCCCTACCTTCCGCTACCCCTTTCTATGCTACCACACCCCTGCCTGTCAGTGCCTGCCTGTATCTCGTCCACATGGCGGACTTGGATAAAAAAAAATGAAATGACGTACATTAAAAAAAAATTGATATCGATACTAAAACTTGAGCAGGAGGAGTCTTTGAAATAAGTTCGACTCCAGGTACCGCTAATATCCCACCTGAGGCTGGTATTGCTCGCGAGTCTCACTGAACACAAGTGTGCCCGGGGGAGTTGTTGTTATGATATGTTCAGATTTGATTTTTAAAACTTATTTTCATTTGTTAACGTTTTCATTTCTCCTTCAACAACTGTAAAAAATTGTAGCTTCTCGAGAAATGCTGTACATTTTAATTGTTCATTTTATCACAGACCTAAAACACCTAAAAGTAATTATGAATTTTTTGTATTTTTTTTTTTTTTACAATTAAAAACTATTACACTAACTTAAAGTAAAACCAAAACAAAAAAAAAAAAAAACAAAAAACAACAAAAAATTATTTAAAAAAAGTTAATTAAAACAATGTTTTTTTTTTTTATTTTTTTTTTTTTTTCTTTTCTAAAACTCTTTTAAGTAATTATTAATTTTTTTTATTTTTTTTTTTTTTACAATTAAAAACTATTACACTAACTGAAAGTAAAACCAAAACAAACAAAAAACAAAACAAAAAACAACAAAAAGTTATTTAAAAAAAGTTAATTAAAACACGTTTTGTTGTGGAATGACTATGTGCGTAAATTATAAAAATACAAATGCGTGTCAAGTTAAAACAAATTTTTTATCTCAAAATATCGATCAGTTAATCAAAGACAATCACTGCCTCCCTTTGAAATATCATCTTAAACCAAATTGCTCAATGGCTAAGTGTGATAATCATGATTGCGGGTTGCCACACTATCGAAAATGTTATAGGGGGGTGGGGGTGCGGCTTTTAAAATATTGAGAACCGCTCCCCTATACGAGGGTTGTGTGCTCAACTTCACTAGTCTGACACAGATTTCATGAGTGAGTCAGATTAGTTGTGAATGCAGGGTGTACGTCAGTGGGCCTCAAACTAACGGCCCACGGGCCAGATCCGGCACGCCAGAGCTCCTTAATGTGGCATGCATGGCCGTCGTACGAGTGGCGCATATGAAACCGGACCTTGATGTTCTCATTACCTAAATCAGGTCAAAACTCTTCGTTGAACTACTTAGTTTGTGGTGATTGAAATTGATGTTTTGAAATAGTTTATATAAGATAGGTGAAGTGTGAATAGGATTTGTTGTTTTTTTGTTGTTGTTTTTTTCAACGAATTTCCCGTCCCAACGGTGGCTTAGAGACAGTAAACTGGCTCCCTGTTTGAGGACCCCTGGCATGGGCCATAAATGTTGCATTTACTTAAGGTTGTATTTTTTTCGGAGGGGGTGGTGGTGTTCGAGGGGGGAGGGGGAACTACTAGTATGGCATAAAGCCGGATATGGTAAGGCATCCCCAAGGAGTGCAGGGCAAAGGACTGGTGAGGAGACTCGCCGATAGTGGTGATGTGTTTCTTACAAGTAAATATTGTATTGAAAATGTCATAGATCTGATAATAAATTCCCAATACATTTGTTCTATGTTCACATCTCCTAAATTTAAAAAAAAACTATTTCACTATTTATACGACGAGTTTGGGGAGTTGTTTAATGTGCTTAACTTTAAATTATGAAACGACTGGTAATGCGAGAGAAAAAAGTGTGAAGTAAAAAATTGGGTCACAAGGCGCCTCTTGAATTATTTTTACGAGTCCTACTAGGTCAGTGGTCGGCAAACTCATTAGTCAAAAGTAGGTCATTAGTCGGCAAACTCATTAGTCAAAAGTAGGTCAGTGGTCGGCAAACTCATTAGTCAAAAGTAGGTCAGTGGTCGGCAAACTCATTAGTCAAAAGTAGGTCAGTGGTCGGAAAACTCATTAGTCAAAAGAACCAAAATCAACAGCAAAACGATTAAAACATTTTTGAGAGCAAATTTCTTGTGGTGTACTTGTCAAGGTAAAAACCGATTTTTGGCGGACTGCCTTAACCGCGCTCAGATCGTTAAAGAGCCGCATGCGGCTCGCGAGCCTCGATTTGCCTACCAACCCACTAGTTTCACGTGCTTCTTATAATGTCCTTTTATCTGTAATCGTTAAACCTGGGGCAACAAACTTTTAAAGCAAGGACCGATTCACTGTTCCTTGGACACATGGGAGACGGTAAACTGCCGGTAAACGGCCCCTAAGAATCGGTTTGGACCGGAATATAGTTTTAAAAAAAATATATATAAACGAACTCCAGTGCAAATTGCACATATATCTTACAAGTAATGTAAAAATAAAACAAGAAGACAAAATTACTTTAAATGAATGACAGTTTTAAGGAACATAAAGTAATTAGTATTTTAATGAGTACTATTGGCCTGCTCATGATTAAATCGATCGTCAATGTTCGGTGCTCTATTTGTCACTGCTATCGAACGACAATCAATTTGAGGACCACTGCCTCAAAATTTTAGAAATATAGTTTTTAAAAAATATAAATAAAAAACTAGTTGAAGATATTCACTTGAAATGTTCTGATTTATTGATTTATTATTTATTTAAAAAAAAAACAAAAAACTACTATTGCTATGCAAAATTGACCTTCTGACGTACTTAAAATTGTATACTATCTTTGATTGATTTAGGAACAGGAAATAGTGTCGTGGTAGGGGCGTGGTAGGGGCGGGGTAGGGGCGTGGTAGGGGCGTGGTAGGGGCGAGGGGGTGTGTGGCTGTAGGGTTTGTTCTTTAACGTTTTTTTTTTCCTGGCTTCAAAGTAATGTGAATCGTGATAGGAATTTGACCAAAACTTGTTTGGGCGAAATAACAATTGGCGGATGGTGTTTTGAATGGTACGCCCATGTGTAAGGTACGGTCTTAAAAGAGCACACACGACACACAACTTGACATAGCACGGTATGCTTTGCCCCGCGTAAGCTGCGGTCCTATAGGAATATACACGACACACAACTTGACATAGCACGGTATGCTTTGCCCCGCGTAAGCTGCGGTCCTATAGGAATATACACGACACACAACTTGACATAGCACGGTATGCTTTGCCCCGCGTAAGCTGCGGTCCTATAGGAATATACACGACACACAACTTGACATAGCACGGTATGCTTTGCCCCGCGTAAGCTGCGGTCCTATAGGAATATACACGACACACAACTTGACCTCGCGCGGTATGCATGGCTACATGTATTAACATCCTTGATTAGGCGACGTTGGGGCATGTGGGAGAGGGGTCGCTGAANGGGGGGGCAGGGGGAGAGGGGGCGCGGAAGAGGGGGGGTACGGGGGAGAGGGGTCGTTGAAGAGGGGGGGCACGGGGGAGGGGGGGCGCGGGGGAGGTGGTCAAAATAAAAGTCCTTTGTTTGGAAAAAAAAAAAAGGAAATTAAATTGGTTATTCCATTGCCTGACAACTACCCTCACTCTCAAGCCAAAAACAAATTTCTGACAGCAAAGTAAGATTCAATTTAGTTTTACTAAATCTCGAAATGAGATTCGATAAATTTATTATTGTATGAAATAACAGATTAGCCAAGCTAATATTTTAATCTTTGTGTGGGAATCTATTGCAATTTCTTAAGATTTTAATTTTGTCTAATCAAATGAACATGTATCCTGCAAAGAAGTCTACTACGAATGGAGTCTGTTGTTTAGAAAATATGTATTTATGGTTCACTGCAGCGGAGACTGTCTTTAGCTGATCAGATTGGCGAGTTTTGCTAATCATTTGTAAAGGAATATATTGCTCCCACAACTCACTAATCCCCAAATTCCTTTTTTGGTTGTTGCTCAATTACTTTCAGTTTCATTAAACACAAGGATGTACTACTTTATGTTTAAACGCCACGTCAGACTGTGTAACCAAGGGGTGAGGGAAACTGTTAGTCATTACCCCCAAAATATCTTTGTTCACGCTGACCGCAACCCTCTCCATCTAAAAGTAGAGAATAATCGACTTTAAAAAAAAATTAAAGTGGTTAATTGAATCTATTTGTATGAAAAATTTTATCAAGTATTATAACAAAATACTTATTATGCAACAAAGGCATTTCTTAGAAAACTTTTCATTATATGTTTGGGAGAAATTAATCTGACTTTTTAGATTACAACATCGAAATTGTTGCTGATTTTTTCTTGCTTTTTTAATTTTTTTTGGGTTTTGTTTGTTTGTTGTTTTTTCGTGTGGGTTAAGCGATTTGCTTACTGTCTAGGGCAGCGGTTCTAAACTTCCTGGTCGCGTCCCCTTTGAGGTCAAACGACCCATACACAGGGTCGCCTAAGACCACCGGAATGAGTCCTATTTATGAGTAGCAACGAAAATAACTTTATGCTTTTATGGTATGCACCTGTAAAAAGTATAATGCTTATCCCTGCGTTCTATGCACGTAAATATTGATTCTGATTCCAATCGTACACTCGTCTGTTCAGCGTCGTGTGCAAGATTTTAATGTGTCACAATTCTTATTGATAGCCGAGTAATCAAGTTATTGTAAAATATATTTAACATTAGCAAAAGAAATCCTAAAGTTCGGTGTGTGAATTCCCTAAACATCGTTATTGTTTTTTTCCCGGGGAAGGGGGCTGGTAAGTGATCAAGTTATACTGAGAGAGAGAGAGAGAGAGAGAGAGAGGGAGAGAGAGTTTTTTTGTTTAAAATGGAAACGATAATTGATCTCACCAAACAGCAATCTTACCACAACAGCTATCTTACCACAACAGCTATCTTACCACAACAGCTATCTTACCACAACAGCTATCTTACCACAACAGCTATCTTACCACAACAGCTATCTTACCACAACAGCTATCTTACCACAACAGCTAGCTTACCACAACAGCCATCTTACCACAACAGCTAATCTTGGATCAGGATGCGTGGCGTAGTTCTGGTTAATCTTGGTCTCCAGCCACCTCCACCTCCCCCAGGTGTCCTTAAGGTGGTCCACCAGCTCCATGTCGTGGGTCACACACCTCATGTCACACCAGTCTCCGGCCAGGGTGCCGTGCCGCACGCTCTCCCCGTGAAGGACCTTGACCCCGGTCTTGTCGCCGTCCACGTCGTAGAAGAGCTGGACGACCGTGCGCCTGGCCTCGTCGTCATCGAACACCAGGTGCGTCGCCGTCCTAACCTTGACCTTGGCCCAGGCCACGCGGGGGTGCGCCGAGGTCCGGCATTCGGGGCAAGGGCAGGGCGCCCCCGATCTCGTGTCGTTTCTGTAGACGTACTGTATGAAGCCCGTGCCGTTTCGCTGCAGCTGCTTGCCTCGGTATTCGTAGAAGGAGTAGCCTTCCGGTCTCTTGGGGCTGGTGTGTGAGCTGATGATTCTCACCGTGAGCTCTCCCTGGGTTTTGATATAGTTGACGATATCCTCATCTCTGGTTAAAAAAAAATATTTTGATTAGCATAAGTGAAGTGATCGTCTATTTTAAGGTAACACGAAAAGAATTTACAGTATGAAGATACTACTTGAAGGACTGCATTCAGGCTGTGGGAATGAAGTAGTAGAGCAAGGTATGTTGAAGCTCGAATCAAAAGACAGGACAATAAAGATTATCAACCCTGCTATTTTTAAATTTTAAAAAAAAATGCCTTCAATGGTACACTAAATCAGAGCTGAGCAACCGGTGTGCCGCCGTACACCAGTGTGCCACAAGACGCGACTAGATGTGCCGCGGCGTTCTGGGAAGAAGGGTCTTGGTGTGCCCTGAACAAAAAATGTTGCGGAGCACTGGATTAATTTACTTTGCAACAGATTGCCTTGCAGACAAAAGTTGAAGTCGAAATTAAGAAGGAATGTTTAAAGAACACACATCTTGAAACGTGATTCAAATCTTTGATCACCAAAAATCTCATCACACATAACTTTTTTTATTTTTCCATAAAAAAAAAATAAAAAAAATACACATTATTCAAGTCAAAGAACGGAACAGGCACCTCGTGACCGTTTGCTCTTTCTGATATCAATCATTCGAAATGTACCTTTTAGCTGCACTCTTTAGATGGAGCTGAATGCAATTTTATAATAGGGATAATTCCTTTAAAAGTAAGTTTATTGGACAATTAACAATCTTTACGCGTTGTCAAGCCATTAGGATTATTTGAGCGGGAAAATAAGTAGAAAGAGATTTAATTGATCATAGAGTTCCTTAAACAGACTAAATGCGTTTGTGACTTCATGTATGCTTTCATTTCTTGATTTTAACTTTAAAATAATTTAAAAAAAAAAAAAAAAAAAAAAAAAAAAAAATAAAAAAAAAAAAAAAAACCTTTGAAAATAAAATGTCATGGGGTTTTATTTCATCAATCACTTATTTTAAAACAGACTGTTGCATTTAAAAAAATGGACGGGACATGTCCAGGATTGAAAACTTACGATGTTTTCAGTTTTCGGACTCACAAAAAATGGTGGCTGAAAACTTTTATTGGCCTGAAAATTCCATCTTGATATAGCTTAGAACACCGGTTCTCATCGTGTGGGCTGCGACCTCTTTGGTGGGGTCGAACGACCCTTTCTAGGGGTCGCCCAAGACCATCGACAAATGCATATACTCTACAGTTATGAAGACGCGACAAAACTAAATTTTTTGTGGCCGGGGGTCGCCACAACGTAAGGAACTGTATTAAAGGGTCGCGGCATTCGGAGGGTTGAGAACCACTGGCTTGGAAAGCTTTGACAGGCTCTGTGAGAGATCGGTGACTGTATACATATAGAAAATTATGTTTACTTGAAAAGAACAGAGTTCCTTACTTGTAACCCTCCGGGAGATGGTCGATGCCAAACGTGTTGATGGGGATGAAGTCTTTGTGTCCAGGGTTTTTGGTACAGTCGCTCAGAAACGTGTGGAGGTCAGCCTCGCCGCGGAAACTGACCTCTGCCTCGTGGTATCCTGAAAGGTCAATAATGCAACATTCGGGGTTAATGACGTGTCAAGATCACCGTATTACCGCATTACAGCAGGCTATTAAGTTTCGGTATAAGTGTCTGCAGTGGTTCAAAACTTGTGAACTCTCTGGCCACATACATGGATTTGTGACGTGTACACGACATACACACACACATACACACACACATACACACATGTATGAGCAGTTCTCGGTTCAGATCATAGAGAGGAAAGTTTCTCTATTTTAAAAAAAAAATTAAATCTATCGCCACCGGCAGATCAAACATAGGGTAGAAACCGTTTGTCAACACCAAAGTTGCCGTACAGCGTTTAAATGGCGATATATATATATATATGTGTGTGTGTGTGTGTGTGTGTTTATCCCACCCCCACGTACCCCTGAATCGCCAGAGCATTTTTACATCTCCAATTTTTCGTCATGTTTAATTGAATCACACAAAGTCCTAAACTGGCCTTACCTTGATCGCCCCTGGCTAACTTCGCCAACTCCAAAGAATTCACCGCACCTCTGTCTGATCCACACTCTGCCATAGTAAATGAACACACAAATACACTCTAGCCGTTCAATGTCCACTTAGTCATCCAGACCTCTGTGAAGCTTCAAATCATCTCGTCATTCAGCGCGACGACCGCAGCAACTCTTAGCATTGTAAGTTCGTGGTAGCCTCTCAAACCAAACTCCCACTGCACACAGACAAGATGTGATGTTCAAGAAGCTCAGAATCAACAAGTGTCAGGTTCAAGTAGATTGTATGTAAAGTGGTTAACACGGGGAGTTTAGAAGTGGGTCAGAATGGTTTTCATGAGACATGCAACAAATCGTAGCAGTGCTGTTTCCGAGATATCCACCCCCCCCCAACCCCAGATTCTTGCGGGCATTCCCATTATACCGTAACGGGTGGATCAGTCAGCTCCAACTCAGCGTGCTTGTTAAACATTTGGTTTGAGAATAAAGAAAAGTGACGTCACCCGTCAATTTAATATAAGTCCCAGGCGGCCCTTAATTTGTTCGATGAGATCAGTTAATCAAGCTGCGTCCTCTTTAAGACAACACTACTTTATAAATAATATTTAGAGTATCGGCTGATTTTGGATTATAGAGATGGTGGGGTCTATCGCCCACCTTCACCCACTTGACCCCCATCGACCCATTTTGGAAGAAAAACAAGTTTCATAAATAAGCACAGCACAGCCTCGCAACATTGATGAGTAAGCACATGATGTTCAGCAATGCAGCGTTGATAAGGAAGCACATGATGTTCAGCAATGCAGCGTTGATAAGGAAGCACATGATGTTCAGCAATGCAGCGTTGATAAGGAAGCACATGATGTTCAGCAATGCAGCGTTGATAAGGAAGCAAATGATGTTCTGCAATGCAGCATTGATAAGGAAACACATGATGTTCTGCAATGCAGCATTGATAAGGAAACACATGATGTTCAGCAATGCAGCATTGATAAGGAAACACATGATGTTCAGCAATGCAGCATTGATAAGGAAAAACATGATGTTCAGCAATGCAGCGTTTCCGAAACTGTTAAGTTTGCGGACCGTTGGGCAGGTTTCAAAGCTGCACCAAGAATCGTGGCCAGATTTATCAATTATATCTTCTTTTTATTTGACCATGGATATTCATGTTGCGCGGCCCAACAACATTATAGGAACGCTGCGGCACTCTCCATCTCTTTGGACTGTTAAACGATGGTAGGGTACATTATTGCAGCTTGACACTCTCAAGAAGGAAGAATTAAACATCCCCTATAAAAGTGGCTGAAAATGTAACCAAAAAATGCATATAAGTAACGAGCTTTATAAAAATCTACTCAAGTTCCCACTCCCCCCCCCCCCCAGGCTCCCAACCCC